GCAGAGGGCCCAGTGAGGCGTGCAGACAGCGAGTGTGTGCCTGACCCACCATGCCATCCACCCGGGGTGCTGGGGGTTTCCTCTCCTGTTGCAGTGCCTCCCCCAATGGCCCCAGGAGGCAGCCTGGCAGGGGGCGCGGGAGAGGGAGTCTTCCAGACCCAGAGGGCCTGCTCAGGAGTTCCAGTAAGGCTTGGCAGGCTCTGAGTACTTGGGTCTGGGTGGGCTTCAAGGACCCGTGGCAGTGCAGAGGGGGCCCCGAAGGACAGGGGTCCAGGATACTGATGTGGGTGAACCATGGGAGGTTGCAAGGGCAATGGGGAGCTATTCACTCAAAATCAAGTTTCTGGTAGATAACTCTGGAGACAGTGGGGAGGCTGCTGTGGGGAGACCAACCAGCAAAGGCACAGAGAGGCAAGAGGCGTGTTGGGGACGCTCACTGCCACCCTCTTCAGTCAAGAAAAGTCAGCCTACCAGGGCTTCATCCCAAGTGGACTCAGTCCTCCCAGTCCTATTTACCTCCCCTCTGCAGGATGTTCCCTTCTTTACGTCTTTCGAGGAAGGCATGTCTCTTTCTTCTACTTGCTTGTTAGATTGAACTTGAGACTAGCAGTAAATTATCTAATAAAGACCAGTGGAAGAGGCAGCCCCGGCCGGGTCAGCCAGCATGTCATGCCCAAATATGGCTGACTCTGCAGTAGCCCTGGGCGTCTGCATTACCCACAGTGGGGCTGCAGTTCCAGTCAGCATCTCCCCTGCCCTCCAGCATGCTTACTTTGGGGCTGCCTGTCACCCCATTGGTTTTTCCAGTCTGAGGCCCACCTCGTGTGCACTCTTCCCCCTCCTGACCACTTTCAGACACACCTGCACAAAACACACAATGGTGTCTGGGAACTGGGGTGGAAATGGGAGCAGGAGCCATAAAGAGGGAACCCACACGGACCTCTCCCTACACAGGACCCATTCAGGACGAAATGAGATTTCTGGTCCGTCCCCCTGCCCCACTGGAAAGCAAGTTCCCAAGGACAGACAGAATTACAGTAAGAACTGATTTTCTCTTCACTAAAGTGCCATTGACTGGGTCATCTGTGTTCCTTCAGTAACCTTCAGAAACCAGGGACACTAAGTCACAGTAACTGATCAGTAGTCAGCCCCAGCAGAAAGGGGGACAGAAGCTGGGTATCCTGGCTTCCAGTCCTAGGCTTTCCCTATTTGGGGGCGACAAGGTAGGTGGGTGTAGAGGGGTTTTGTCCCCAAGAAACATAGTATGGCCACCAGATGGCGCCCCATCCCAAAGCCCCCAGATCGGGCAGTCCTTGGAAACCAAAATCCAGCTCTTTCATATTTTCCCTTATTTGGAGTAGATTCTTGGATGTTAGACACACCCCGCCCCCCACCCCACCCCGGGCCCTCAGACCCCAGGCCAGGCCTCCTACAGGGGCGCTTCGGCTGGTGAAGAAAGCTGCAAAATGGCACGGTGAGAAGAGACCTGGTCTGGAAGGGCAAGTCCAGGTGCAGCAGGTGAGGACACTGATTTCCTGAGCTTCCACCCTGACCGTGTGGCCTGGAGCACATGCAGGTGGACCTGCCAGTGGACTTCACCTACTTTTCCGGGACCCAGCTGGCAAGGGAATCTGGAGATGTTGCTGCTCTCATCCTGACTGGCGGTGAACATCCAGCTCGGAGCCAACCTGGGACAGGGCCCAGCCGCGGAATCTGGCCCATAGGAGGAGCCCCTAGCCTTCGGTGCCTGGCCACACCCCTGCCCCAGCCCCCATGGAGCGCAACAGCCCCGGAACCAGCTCCCCCGCGCCCAAGGCAGCTGGTGCCAGCGAGGAACCCACTGCTGCCTTTCCAGGGGCCATACTGGCGGCAAATTGTCCTTCTTCTAGGTGGCCACTCACTCTCAGCCCACACACTGTCCTGCTGTCGGGGGCCCTTCTTCCCCAGACGATAATGCAGTGGCCAGCACACTGAGTGCCCACTTGGCCCATGTCCTGCCAAACACTCAAGGCACCCTCTCTCTGAGGGACCCCTGTGGCCTAGGGCTCCCACCACCCTGGGCACAGATACACACTCGCAAGTAAACTAGGGAAGGCAGCCCCTGGGCACCGCACTCCCAAGTTCGTGAGTCCCAGCTGCTCCTTCGTCACCCCGGTTCCCAGTCCGCAAGCTGCGCGGTGACCGTCTCGCGCGGAGGCCTCACCTGCTGTCCCTGCGGGCGGCCCGCGACTGCGGGGGTGGCGCCGGATTCGCCTTTGCGCCCGCGCCCGGCGCCTCGGGGTTCCGCTGGCGTCCGCTGAGCGCCGCGCGCCTCCACG